TCACCTGACAACAGGATAAGCAAAGGGGAAGAGATCTCGCAAGCATACCTTGGCACTCGAGATCTCCTCAACATCAATGCTCTCAGCATAACCTAGCTCATCAGGCAGGGGGGCACCGAGCCGAACGATACCCGTAGCACCAAGAGTCCGGCAAAGACGACGCATCTCGAATTTAGACGTGCCTGATGATGATAATAATAATGAACTGGTGATGCTGATTCCCTCGAGATGAGCCTACATTTGATGGCTAGGATATGATGTTTGTTCAGGAAATGGAGAGCAATATCCTGAATAGAGCCTCCCACAATCACGGCCTCAACACCAGCGTCAACCAAACTAAGAACCTACACAGATATAGCTTCACTCGCTTACGAGCTCAAAATGAGCTTCCATACGAATTCCTCCATTTTTTTCTCCTCCCCCTTAGCAAAATCCATCAGCTGTTTGCCCGACTCTAGCAGTACCGTCCCTTGCGTCTCAGTGCCGGTCATCTCGAGGCCGCAGCCGTAGACGGCTACCTGAACATTCTCAGGCTCCTCCAGCGCCGACCACAAGGACAAGTGCAATCACCTTGCAGTTCTTCTTGTGCTTTTCGATGCCCATCGTGTCTCTGGTAGTGACCATCCCGTCCACAACGTAAGAATTATGACTGCCAGTAAACGAATGGGAAAAGGGGAAGTTGGGCAGAAAACGACTCACATGTTGCCACAACCAGGCAACTTGGCCACCCTAATGTTGTCGATGTCGAATTTCTTAGGGTCCTCAGGCATCACCGAGCAACACGCAGAAGCGACAAGACGAGTCTGAATTAGAGTAAGTGAGAAATCGTATACAAACGGGTGCCCAATCCTCACCAGAGTGTCCTCGAGCCCGTACTGTTTTGCGCCCAGAACAGACTTGATAGCAGTACTGATCTGAAAGTTGAAATATTATACAACTCGATCTGATCAACCTATTATATGCAGCTCAGTCCGTAGTTGGAATACATTTTTGCTCTCCTCAGCTGAGCTGAAGAGTTTCCTCGCTGCATTATAAGAATTTACACACGAATTCAAGTGGAAGAGTACAAAAACCAACGATAAATTTCCAAATTTTCCCAGAAGTAGTTGACTATAAGCATATTCTCCCCCACTGATAGTTGCAACTCGCATCCTACACGTCCTCACCTGATCTACGCTTCTGACATCCCCTAGGGTATACGCAACCAAATCATCGTTATCGTTCAGGTACTT